CAAGTGCAGTGTTGGAAATTAAATTTTGACACCACTGGCCATTCGGGCGAGTGACTCTCATAATGCAGTCGCCCGGTGTAATTTTCACTCGCCCAGAGAGGTGCCTCCCCTCCCCCCACCCCCAAAATAATACCCGCAATGATTCACAAACCATGCGTTTTTTCGGTATCTTGTCAGTCACGGACGCCCAACTTGCCATTTCGAGCTTTCTCAGTTGTTCTGGTAAATTTACGAGACTCCTCCTTAGGATCGTGCACCCATTATACCGGCTGTTTTATCCTTGATTTTCCTTGGAAATATTTCCCCACTTCCGTAGTTCTAGGCCTTGTTCACAAGTCGTGCCATTGCCGTGCCGAACTCAAATGAATTTGGCCCGGCAGTGGCATGGAAAAACAGCCCTTGTTTCAAACGTTCGAATTTGATTCAGTCGTGCGGAAGATCGGAACTAGTTTACTTTGCTGAAGACCATTTTAAATGCTACAAAGCAATGGCAGCTGACGCAGCAGGCTATGAATTCAGTTCGGCACGACAAAAGCACGTCGTCGCGCTACTGCCTTGCGGCACGGCAAGGCTTGCTATGCTAAGAAGTCGTACCAAACTTAATTCAGCCTGCCGAACTGAGTGGTTTCAAACGTTGTGCTACTACCGTGACGTTTGGGAAAGGAGCTATTAGACCGATAATTCCGAGACATAAACACTGTATTGTCATTATTGTTCACCGCTAAATTTTCTTTCGCGCGCCAGTTCAAAAATCATATTGAATTATTTTCAAAGTTGAAAGCCAAATGTGAAATTTGAAAAGGGAAACAGACAAAAACCCACTTTTAAAATACAATTTCAATTGCTTATTTCTTATAAGCCCGCTTGTTGTAGAAAATTTTCACGGACGACTACTATCCATCCGCGTATTTTCCTCGGGCAGGCACTATGGCCTGATAATGTCTCTCCGGATGAACACGCGTCACGTGACCAATTTAAGCTAATACGAATCGGAGAAAATTTAGTGGGGAACTATAAGGCAGATAGCCGTCTCTCCGCCACGTGATCAATTTAAACCTATGAGAATCGAAGAAAGTTTAGTGATGAACTATAAGAAATGGTAGTTGTTAAGACTGAAGGCAAGTTTCTTTTTCTCGAAGTGTTTTCTAAAAGAATCAGAAATTTTTTCTCTCTGTTTCTATAAAGTTATATAAACATTCGTGAAAGTTTGCGAAAACTCGGAAAAGCTGTGGAAACAGGTGCACTCGCCCACGGCTTGTGTCAATTCCCATATCATTTCTCGTTTTCTCAAACTTTCTCTCGTGTTGCTATAACTCGACAGAAACACGGAATTTTTTTCTGTCTCTTAAATACTAAGGTTACAAAAGACTAAGCAGTTGAAAACTGCTCATACAGCGAATCCGTACCTCAGTCAGTCCTGCGAATTTCATACTATAGTAACGATGTTATTAAAAGAAGCCGTTACGTGTACATTGCCTATTATTTCATAATATCCTCGGGTAGGGCGTTTTTTCGCTTTTTGTTAAAAGTTGATCCCAGTGAGCAGATCGAAGAAAAATTTAGTAGAGGAGTCCTACGGATGGTTTGAAATTCGGTCCGTGTAAAACGCAAACTGCGGACTGCAAATGCAGACTGCAGACTGTGTTTCAATTTCATCATTGAGAACTAACCGTAAAAAGGCTAACCGGAACGTTATTTAGGCACACCTAAGTCATATTTAGGCTAATAGGAGTGATAGTCAGTCTAACCGGAGTGATTTTTAGGCAAACCGGAGTGCAGTCTTTCTCTGCGATTAGCCTGAATATGATAACCCTGTTTACCGTTAGCACTCGATAATGGAAGTGACAAGAGTCTGTAGGCGAAGTCTGCGTTTTACACTGACCGGTTTGAAATTGCATCATTTCTCTGGTGAAAGGCTGCCGCATAAAGTTGAGTCAAAACTTCGTAGACACAAAAACGGTTTTTAGCATACAGAAGAACCCCGGTAACTCGAGCTCGGATAAATCGTACTCCCCCGCTAACTCAAACTGAGTCTCAATTCCCTCGGATTTGACCCAACTTTTCAGTCATTTTTACTTGGTTAACTCGAACCCGGATAACTCGAAAACCCCGCTAACTCGAACTAAATTTCGTTTCCCTTGATCAAAATTTACCCCGATAACTCGCATTTCTGGTTCTTATAACTCGCCACGGATGCCTATTGAGATATCCCATTAGCTTTTATTATCGTGTGATCGAATTCTAACGCTAGAACAAAGACTGGAGCCATTTGATTTTAATTAATGCAACGAACAGATCACTGCAAGCGAAGTCAGACCCGCATTGATGTACTGAATTCATACAGTCTACTGGTGAACGAGGGTGGAGAGGAAATCAGAAGCCATGTACAGCAAATAGAGGCATTAGCAGAAAGAATCTTCAAGAGCTCCCTACGACAGCAGACGCTGCATTCATTTTTTGTGCCTAAGCAATAAGAACTTTACGGATATGATAGAACGACCCCGACGCAAAAGGGAACATAAATTGAGTGTATTAAATAAACTTAGTTACATTCACAGTATTGCATTGTCGTAAGAATGCATATTCATTACAGTTGTTACAAAACGTATTAGTTTCTCGTGAAATAACTTCAATTTGCACTGTATTGTATACCGAAGTGTTGAAAATAAGTAAACTATTAATTATTAACCTGGAAATTGATTATTTCAATCGACTCCGATAACTCGAAACCCCGCTAACTCGAACAGTTTTTCGTTTCCCTTCAG